CGCGTCCCCCACTCGTATAGAGACCTCCTTACGTGTCCCCAACTAAATTTAACTTAACGAAGGTTATAGCCTATTTGTGTATCTTTCATCACGCTTTATTAACATGTCCGCATCGCAGATCTTATGTAACCCGTCTTTTAGCGCCATCGCTACTGTTGCCGTTTATTGGCTCCACGATCGGAAATTGTGACGCTTTTGTTCGCTGCGGCTACAAAATAACTAGTTCACATTATTTATTTATTATTTGAGCGACCAACAAGACATACACTACATATAAACATGTTCCACTATTATTTGAAAAAAATACGAGCTGAGTTCAGTCAGTTCAGTCAGTTCTTCTCATCTCGATATCATTCCGAACTGACGGTAGATTTGACATATCATAAGAGTCTGTAATAGACCTACATGAATAAAGATATTTTGAATTTGAATTTGAACTATGAGGTTACAATTATTATCAATAAGTTCAGGTATATTCTTCTTAGACAGTGTGGTCATCAATTTGATCACGTTGAGTGAGGTTTTTGGTAACATCAGGCATATAGTGTTGACTTAATTACTGGTTGCCACGACATGCGTAAATGTTTGCAGAAGTTTATATATGTATATATATTTATCTTTTTATTTTATTTCACTTTATATACATAACAATAAAAAAAAATATATAAATATAAAACCTATATCTGGAGTATAGCCTTGTATGCGTGGTAGACGTGGACATTAAATCAAAAGGAAAGAGACAAACTGGAGGCTTTTGAAATGTGGTGTTGGAGGAGGATGGAAAGAATTAGCTGAAAGGATAAAGTAAGAAACGAAGAAGTACTTACTACACAGGGTAAAAGAAAAAAGACAAATATTGAACACAATAGAAAATAGACGAGGAAAAATGTTAGGACACTTGATACGGCACGATGATTTCATGAAAATTATTATAGATAACTCCACCGACACGAGCGTAGCTCTTTAATTATGAATGAATGAAATATAAAATAATATACATCAAACAAATTGAGGACAAAATGGGAGTCGTGTCGTATCAAGAATTAAAGAGCATGATGGAAGATCGCAAAGTGGCAAGAGCTCCACCGACAAGAGAGTAGCTCTTTAATTATGAATGAATGAAATATAAAATAATATATATATATATATATATATATTTTTTTTCTATTATTAAATGTGTATAAATATTAATGTTATATATCTCTTTTTTTTATATATATAATATATAATACATAAAATATATCACATTAAACTCAATATTTTCACCCACTCCACGGTTATCAAAATGGGACCAACCTTTTAATAGAAATAATAGAATTTCTATTCTATTATTTTACTATCTAAAGTTGTAAGTTTTTTATTTTTCTCTCATGTCTCTTTACCTTATGTTTTTCTTTTTATTTTCTGTGGTTCGCCTGTCAGATTGTTTAGTATGTATTTATTTACTTGTATATGTATTTGTATAGAATGTTATATATCTCTTTTGTGTGTTATATATATAATATATAGTATCATAAACATAATAGAGTAATATTATATCATATTTTACAGGAACAGAGACCTGTGTGGCATTGTTTTATTTGTATTATATATATAAACCTTCTTCTTGAATCACTCTATCTATTAAAAAAACCACATTAAATCCGTTGGGTAGTTTTAAAGATTTAAGCATACATAGGGTTCAGGCACCGACAGCGACTTTTAGTCGAGTCGACTTTGAGTCAAGACAGTCGTAGAGCGATTTTTAGTCCTACCGTAACAATAACAAAAATGTATTTGTTATGAATGAAAACTCATTGAAAATTGTTATATTAAATTACAGTACAATACATTTTAATTAATCTATTGAAGCATTGTTATAGTTTCGATCATTTGCTAGTTAACTAGCTCTACCAGTTGGATGAGGTTCGATTGAAACCGTGATCGGGTCAATTCACGAGGGCCAGTTGGCGAGCAATTTAAATTGCCATTCATTGTAATGATTGAACCCGTCTCTATTGATTGTGTACTGCAACATTTCTACCAGAGGGAGAATTTGCATTGATCAAAGTTTAATCGTTTTCAGAGTCAATAAGTGGAATGACAAACAAATATTTATTTGGAAAGAATACGAGCTGAGTTTATCAGTTCTTCTCATCTCGAAATCATTCCGAACTGACGGTAGATTTGATACATCATAAGAGTCTGTAATAGACCACCTACATGAATAAATATATTTTGTATTAAATTGAATTGAAACTGAATGTTCACGTAATAGTAAGTATCCCCTATATATTAATCTTATCTATATAAAATTCTCGTGTCACAGTTTTCGTTCCCATACTCCTCCGAAACGGCTTGACCGATTCTCATGAAATTTTGTAAGCGTTTTGAGTAGGTCTGAGAATCGGCCAAAATCTATTTTTCATCCCCCTAAATGTTAGGGGTAGTCCACACCTAATTTTTTTTTATTTTAAGGCAAAACAACGTTTGCTGGGACAGCTAGTCTTATATATAAAATTCTCGTATCACAATGTTAATTACCATACTCCTCCCAAACCGCTTGATCGATATTTATGAAATTTTATATGCATGTTCAGTAGGTCTGAGAATCGGCTACTGTCTATTTTTCATACCCCTAAGTGGTAAGGCTTGTCCACCCCTAACATTAGTTTTTTTATTTTTTGGGCAAAATTTTTATTTATTAATATTTTTTTATTATGTGTCATTAAAAACATACAACCCAAAGATTTCACCCTTCTATCACCAACCCCTATTTTTTTATAGCGTTATTAATTTATATGGCAAAACAACGTTTGCCGGGACAGTTAGTAATATTATAAACGTGATAGTATGTGAGCATGTATGTTTTTACTCTTTCACGCAAAAACTACTGAACAGATGTCAATGAAACTTTACAATATTACAGATTTACTGTATGCATCAGAATAACATATAGGCTATATATTTTATTGAAATTTATCGCGGGTGTAACCGCGGGCACAGTATATAGTATTTAATTACATTTTCTTAATAATATCCACTAGTACATAATGTACAAAAATTATCCCACACAAGTTTTACAAAATCTTTTTGATGCACTGATAAGCATATACAGGCGACTCCCAGACGTTACTGTACAACCTTGATACTATCTGGTTGCAGTGTTGACATCATTTGAACGGTTTCTATCATGGTGTGTCAAGGTTCGAATCGTGAGATCTTTGCACAACCTAAGGCGTGGTTGTACGGACCGAAGGTTTTGGTATATCCGAATATTATGAAAAAAGAAGAAAGAAAAATATTTTATTCAAATTCAAAAATCATTTATTCGTGTAGGACATTTTAGCCGCTTATGAACGTCAAGTTTTTACATTATAATTTTTTTCCCTACCATCCAGTTCGGTATATAGATCCAATTGAGAAGAACTGGCAAGAAACTCAATTGAAGCTCATTATCCAGTGCTTTTCAACAATGTTACAATATAAAAAACAAAGGAACGAAAAAAAAGAGATCAAACAAAATGTATATATAATTAAACCTAATTTACCATGTAGATAATTAAAAATAAATATAAAATAATCATTTTTTACATCCATATAGGCACACTGAAATCAGCTTTAATGTATGTCCTATGTGAACTTTATCTTTTTTTTTAACACGAGCATGCGGCTAACCTGATGGTAAGTGATTACCGCCGCCCATGAGCACCCGCAACACCAGGGGAATTGCAAGTACGTTTTCGCTTCTTGCTTAGTTTGTGTCTAGATAGTGTTGTCATTGGTTATCGGTGATTATTATCCTCAACCGGGTTTAATTAATTAAAAGAACACGTTACTTACGATACTTCGACCACAAGGGACATGAGTTCAAATCGCAAGCACAAAACAAAATGTATGTCAATTTATATTTCCGACTGTCTCTCCAGTGATGGAAACACCGTTAACAAATCAGCATTAGTTCGATTCAAAAGTACCCAACGAAAAGTGGCCATTTTAATTGTTGCGTACACGACACCCAGAGTTGATATTACCGCTGACTACTCCGATCTACGACACGAGCCGTGATGGCAAATTATTTTATTACTAGCTGTGCCCGCGGTTTCATCCGCGCTATAGCTATATGTCAATAAAAAATATAGCCTATGTTATTATGATGGTCATCCTCATCACTGTAGCGTTATATATGTTGTGATGAGGTGGCGGTACATAATATATTATTTATTGTAGTATGTAGGTAGTGAGTATACCAGTAAAATGATTGCACGATTTATTGTACATTATTAAGTTTATTGGTACTATTGCTACATGGCTTATTAATAAAGCGTACAGTCGACACGGAGTCGCGACTTAGACTGATTTTACACTTAACTTAAATCTATGTTAGTGGAAACGTAAACTAATGGAAGGGTCTCAGGTGTCGACAGAAATATTACAAGTGTAGGCACAGATGCATAAGCTATATTACTGTAAAGTTTCATCAAAATCCGTTAAGTAGTTTTTGCGTGAAAGAGTAACAAACGTCCATACTTACCAACTTTCGCATTAAATAAGATTTATCTTTAGATGTGTTGCATTTTACCTACTTTAAATATGTCTCTATACATATATGTATAGTTTATATTTCAATTCTATACGCTAACCTTAAACTAAACTCCGTGATTGATACGGCACGCCTTCTACATCATAATGATTGCTTAACAACTGACGAATCCAAATATCAGAGGTTGTTGAAACAAATGTTAACGTTAGAAATTACTTACTTACTATATCATCATTATAAATATAAATTCAAAAATAACTGTGAACAAAAAAGAGTTACAGCTACTAGTGAATAGAGTGTATTTTAGTAAACCAATTAAATTCAAATCTGACAAGGATAATATTATTCCGAAAATGTTTGCAGCAAAACTTCAAACAGCTAACTCTGCCGTTATAAGCATATCTTATAAACTTCTCTTTGAGCGTATAAAAGAGATAACCATAAAATTGCGAGCATATTTTAGTGAGAACAAACTTACCCGGATAGAAGTCGTGAGACTTGGACATCTTGACTCTTGCCCCGGTCTCCTTCTGTAGTTGAGCAATGGTCTCGCCACCTTTGCCGATGATGGCACCAGCCACCATTGAGGGCACGAGCACCTTGAAGTGGTATGTGGGCTCCACCGCTGCAGATTTTAAATACCATTGAATAAAGTGGTAACATATCTCTAAAGGAGTACTATGCTGATTACGAATCACTCGGTACATTAATTACATGTATGACTACAATGTCAAATAGAAAATGTAAAAATTTGTTTAAGGCTACTATAATACAAGGAGTACCTCAAGGCAATCTATGCCCTCTCTATCAAGGTGAGGCTATTGAAATTAGTAATAAATCAAACTGACTTATACTTAGCAGCAACCTTTAGAGTTTTATCTATAGTGATTAATAACAAAACGAAAATAATTTTGATAGTAAATTTATAATAGATAGAAAACTTGACATGGACTCTGAAAGGTTGCTTAAGCTAATTTTGTAATTAACACAGTACTCCGTTGAAGTTATTGTACGTATGAGAAGAAATAAAATGTTTGAAAACAGTTAGCAATAAGAACCATAATGCCCAATGCTAATGTTCTGGAGAACTAGCGAACAAAGGAATACATTGAGATTGATACACAATTTCGGGCCTTCGGTCACTAGTTTTTGTTCTTATGAATCGAGCGTGAAGTGCGTTTATGTAAATTTTACCACACCTAGAAGAACCTGTGCCGATGTCAAAGATAAAGGCTATATATGACATACATTTGTTACGAATAATTAACTCGCATATGTGTGACACAGCGCGTTGCGTAATCATCCATTAGGTACACGTAGACAACAGGCCTCTTTATAATTATATACAAGCAAAACAAGATAAAATTAATTAGAAATTTATTTAGTATTATTAAACCTAGTTGAATACATTTACTTATGATTTTGAAGGCAATATTACAGCTGTATCGAAATGTAATTATTTACATGCATAGAATTAAGAATAATAATTTCACATAGACTGGCTAATAGATGAAATAGAGAATATATAAAAATGATTTATGAAATAATATACAATAACATTGAAATATCTAATGCGAGAAACATTCTAGTAAGACTAACAACAGAACATATTACTAACGTGACTGATAACATAAAACATGTAGCTAACGTATTGAAAGAAATTACGACAATACCAATGAATAATATTGCAAGATTCAAACTAATGTAATAATAAATGGAAATACCGGTTTAGAGACTTAAACGGACATAAGTCGACCAGATTGAAAAGGGCCGAATAAGAATTAACTGTAAATTGGCGAAGTTTAATGAATAGATTGATGAATATACAGGAAGCAAAATAGGTATGTATCAATTGAAGCAGCAAAGTTTCTTAGTCTACACCTAACCCCAACAAACAAGAGTGACGACATATATGTATGTTCGTCAACTGAAAGAACGCTAAATAGAAACTAAAGAATACATCGTTGTGACTAGGACTTTAAAGGATTCTAATAAAATTGTTGCAGGTCATTCCATTTACAGGCATACAACTAGAAGAATACAATGAAACTAGCACACCGCCCACATAATACAATATGTTTCAATTGAGATGCATCCCGCTGGTAGCACGGGCGTGATAGCCGCGTCTCGTTTGACCTCAATTGCAGCGAACCATGCTAATATGGTCACCTGTCTCCAATCTAGAGTTGCTAACCGTCTCTAATGTTATGGAATGTTTTGTACATTTTACAATAAATTATAGTAAAGGGTCTGGCCTTCGATGAAAACAAAAAGACGAATATTCAACAATATTTTTGGGTGTGATTCGTTTTACTATGTCTGAAGCAATGCATAATTTTTATTCTAGTATAAATGAAACGAAATAACAATAAATACTGTAAGGTTTGTTTGTCCAGAGAGAAAAAGAGACAATAGACTGTATATTCCAAGATTCGTTCTTTTGTTCTTTTTGGCTGATAACAAAAGTTGGCAAATGAATTCTCGCCACAACAGGCTCCCTGACTTATCTTCAAACTCATGCTATCATCATCCACTGGTCCCCGCTAGTGTACACAGTTAGCGCAAGAGAATACATCATTATCATTTATTAGAAAGAAAAACTCTAACCTCAAACTACAAGATTTAAATGCCCGGCAAGATTAACTGGAATAAACTCTAACCTGTCCTTAACCATGTATCTTTGTCATCTAAAAATCTTAGTTATTGTTTGCGATCGCAAATATAATACATTTAAAAACAAAATTATAAAATTAAAATTTGGAACGTCACGCATGGCACATCGCTGTTGTTTTGTTATATTTTATATACATTTTTTCACTTCTCGAACATTCCGTGGCCTCACTATTAAATTCAGTGTACAATAAATTCTAACTATTTTTTTATTCACTTGGTATCTTATTTAATACTGATTCTAGCCCTAAATATTGTTAATGAATAATCCCGTGCACCTTACGCTTAATATTATTTACCATCAGTTTTTTTTCATAAATCCCTTTAAGTTCTATCAACCACAGATAACTAATAGTATTAAAAATTCGGTCCTTGTTCGGACCCAAACTCAGGCAACAATGATTATAAAACTTTCTTGGTTAGGTTATATCAGGAAGGCTAAACTAACTTGTTTCTAGACCCAAAAGTTTCGGCTGTTTGTCGTTAATTATTAATTCAGTTTCAACATCCAATTAACAAAGTAAAGTTTTTAAGTTTACTTAATACTACTTTGTAAGTTGGAATGCGAAAAAATTGCACTGAAACGATTTAAAGTGTTAATTTTACCAAAACTAAGTATTGTAAATTTTTAATGGTCAAGTCATGGAAGAATCTATGGTCACATAGTCCCAAGCTAAGCAGATATTATTTATAAGTATTAGATAACTATATATATATATATATATATATATATATAATAAATACATACATATTATACATAGAAGACGATACAAACAATCATACTTATAAATAAAAATGTCTATACTGTGCGAGGAATCGTACTCGCTACCATCGTAAGTGATACCATACCATGTAATTTCACTACCATATTTGATATTTATTTATTCAGTAACATTTTATATTGTGTTTAAAATTATACAATTTTTGCTGCTAAGAAATTCATCAACACTGTAAAAAGATTGCTCCAACAGAAAACAATGCAACCTCCTCCCTAAAAAGCTTCCAATTATGTATTATCTTTAAACTATTGGGCAAAGAGTTATAAATCCTTACTGCTTGGAAACCCTCACCATACTTCACAATATTAAGGGTAGGTTTTATAATGTTAGGGTAATCCATTCTTCGAGTACTTTCCCTTATGTCTCGGTTCTCACTAGTCTTGCTATCAAAAATAGTTATTACAAAATCTGTGAAGTGTGTATATTTGTAAGAATGCACATCAAATTATTTAGAAAAAAAGGTGAATACTGTAATTTTAACGTAAGGAATCCAAATAATCTCATTCTCCCATACAATACTACAAACTTGTATAGCAGAAATGCCTATTGTATGTCAATAAAAATTTACAATAAGTTGCGGGATGATATAAAAATACTACCGATAAATATGTTCAAGAGAGAGTTAAAAAGATGGCTGATCAATAAGTGTTTTTACTCTATTGATGAGTACTTTAATTCATGAAGTAGGTAATCGTAGTACTTTGCCCAGAAATTTTAATTTAATTTAATAATGATGAAAATAAAAATGAAACTAAGCTATATGTATACTCTTATAATAATAAATGGACACTGTTAATTTATGCATGCCAGTTTCTGGTGAAAAGTGTGATACATAAATTATAATTTTTAAAATTCTGTAAACCACTTTTCAGGCAAAATAAAGATTTTTGTATTTGTATTTGTATAGCACCAATATGTATAGGCCTCATCTCCTTATAATAAACATTGTAAAGTTAACTATAATAACTCCAAATAAATAATAGCAATATAATTAAGTAGATTCCAAAATGACGGTCAAACAAAGGAATACCAGTTAATGGTCATTATGATAATTGTTATTGGTGATAAATTAAATGAAAACGGTAGGTTCAATAGCTGCGGCGCGATAATTGCCTTCCTAATTAATGTACGCCATTCACCTACAATGTAGGGACGATTGGTATTAGAAAAACATCCATCAATTATTTTTTTATGTAACACGCTTGGCAAACAGGCTTGATGGTCATCCTGATAATAAGTGGCAATGATTGCCTGTATACAAGAAGAATTACATTGCTCTCCAATCAATCTTCTGGCTTCAATGGAAAATGCAAAATATCAGTGTTCTTTTAGGTAGCTAATACCTGCTATAAATGCTTTACTGAAGACAAAAGTTTGCTACTTTTCTTATTTTTGGACTACCAGTACAAGTACCTTAGCCGATGACAAAATTTTCTAGTCTTGATTTTTGCAACCCATATTATTAATGATTTAACATCGATACTTTCTCACTCAACATCGATATTTGTTTGACCTCGAAATTATATCAACATCCCTATAATATATTTCCATTACTGTACACTAGATAATTAATTGGTTATATTTCTGTTAGTACTAACACAATAGCAACTTGACAATGCATTTACTGACGCATTAAGTGTAAATAGACCAATTGTCAATACAGCTGAATATGGCATAGCATAACATGAATAATTTCTTTAAAGTACTAGACTTAACCATTAAAATATCTATACATATAAGAAATGTAACTGATCGTAATCTGTACATCCACTCTGTTAATTTGGAATTACAAACAGACATTTTCCTTTTAATTATTAATAACAAAAAAGGAATCTATACAAGATCACAAAATTTTAACTTTGTTACTTTTATATCGCTAAACGGCTAAACGGTTCTTAATGAAATTTAATATGAAGATAGATTGTGTCACATGGTCTAATACGGGCATCTTTTATCTACATAAAAGGCAGAGAAAGTTGCAGTAACATGTAGTCGAATATATACAAGATGAGGCAAACTAATATTGTATAAACCATAAGAGTTTGGAATAAACTAACATGAATAAAAATATGTAAATCGAATTAGAAATAATCTTTATTCAAATAAACTCATTACAAGCACTTTTGAATAGTCATATTATGATTCTACCATTTGTCACAAATATAGCACATAACAG